TAATGTTTGAATTAGGCAAATAAAATTAATTCTTGTGTTTACATAGACACAGAGATTGGAGAATTGCTATGTATTCAGTGTTCTTTCAAATAACCAGTCATTCATTTATTTAGTACATGTCTATTGTGCCCCTCTTGTATGGCTGGGAACACACCAGGTTCCAAAAATAAAACTGGGACTATGATAAAATTTTTACTCTGAAGGGTAACAGTGAAGTAAATAACAGCCACAATACGGGATTTGAGAGGTACAAAACCACTAAAAGAGAGGAAAAGGGGCACAATTTTGTTTAAGAACTAACGGATTCCAGAAAAGGTGAAGAATTAGGTGGTCTTTGACACAGATCTTAAAAGAGTAAGTAGGCACTTGCCACACATAGATGAAAGAAAGTGTAGCAGACAAAGAATAGACCAGTCATGGTTATTAACTATCAACTAGTCCATCTTTACCACTTACTTGCTATTCATTCCTGGACACAATTGATCTCAGGGAGGTAGTGAGTAGCATGGTGGTTACCAGAGGCTGGAAATGGTAGGAGGGATGTCAGGGAAAAAGAAATGCTGGACAATGGGTACAAACATACAGTTAGAGGGAAGAAATAAGTTCTAGTGTTCAATGGCACACTCGAGTAACTACAGTTATCCTGTATTTCAAAATACCTAGACAAAATTTGCAAAGTTCTTGACACAAAAAGTGATCAAAGTTTGAGATGATGAAAATTCCAACTACCCTGATTTGATCTTTACATATTCATGAATCAAAATATCACATTTACCCCATATATATTTACAACTATTACATATCAATAAAAATCATGAAGATATTGGTAACTAATAGCTAACGTTTATTCAACATGTACCATGTGTCTAACCTTCTCACCATCGTTTCCTCTGACACTCATAGCAACCCTCTGACATAGATACATCACTGTCAGTTTTACAAATAAATAAGAATAAAAAGAATTGATTTCAATGTGTTTTGGGTGAGCAGCGCTGAGAGAGCCCTGATTCACCTGAATAAGAATGCAATGCGCTGTCCAGTTCTGGTTCAATTTTACATCTCAGAGCTTTTGTACTGTGAGTGCAATAAAATCAGGTGTGTGCACAGAAATTCAGGGCAGAGTTAAGCTCCTCCTAAGGAGTGAGTCAAGTATTTGTGATTTGACTGAATCACCTTAATTTAGATATCTTTACAAAGATATTAACTTATCAATCCAAGATGAAATTTTAACTAACGTCAGGGAGATGAGATGGCCCTTTCCCTCTGGTATCAGGAGAACCCCTCTCCAAGAGGCAGAGGCAAGAGACTGTTTCTCCTGGGTTTCAGTTGCTGAAGGAAAGGACTTGCCTCTGGTCTGTGGGAAAACTTTCTTGGGAGCTGTCTTTGCATTTGAACTCTGAATTTTGTTCAGTACATCATTGTTCTAAGGATATATTTAGTGCTTTGTGACTGTACATTTCAACATTCAGCTATTGAGTGAGACAATATTACAAGACATGATGCTCTAGATATCAGCCATTCTTCAAACAGGGTGTTTATTATGGAACAAAAGAAAATATGTGCTTCAATCTAGAATTTGAAAGCACTAACTGCAACGTTTCAAGCATATATAAATAAATGTTATCTGTCTTACCATTTTCGGGAGAAAAGTGAATCTTTACATTTGTTTTAGTGTAACTTGTTCCTGATATTCTAACCTAAAATTTCATGGTCACAAAAAAGTACAAATTAAATGTTCTCTTTATGAGAAATAAAACAGGGACTATAGCACAGGTGATGTGAAAAAAATAGTCACTAAAAAAAAGGAACCAAGAGTGAACTCTGAAGTAATCTATGGACTTGGGGTGATAATGATGTGTCAATGTAAGTTCATGGGTTATAAGAAAGGCACCACTCTGGTGGGGGATATGGATAGTGGGGAATGCTATGGTGGGAGAGCAGGGGGTAAATGAGAAATCTCTAGACCTTCAGATCAATTTGTTGTGAACTAAAAACAATTCTAAAAAATAAAGTCATATATATGTGTGTGTGTGTACACATATTCACATATACTTATATGCATATTATTTATGTATAGATACATGTATATGCATATATACATATAAACACACACACACACACACACACATATATATACACACACACACATTTATACGCACACACAAACACACACCCCTAATAACTTTTAAGGACAAAAACTTTCTTCCCTTCAGAATATCTGCCAAAGTGACTTAAAGTACACCATTACTCATTTGAGGTAGTAAGGGGTGGCATAAATATCAACTGTTTCATCACTAAGTACATTTCGTCCTAATTCTCATCCTTCCACTATAGAATAAATGGTTACATAGCCCAGTATGTATAATAGAACTCTCATATGGACCTCTGCAGATCTCAAATAAGGATTTTCTTAGAAACCTGAAGTAGTACTTAGACTTATACACCAACACACGCTTTGGGTAAAAGGAAAATCCTTTATGAAAATGCAAGCTTTAGGAATTAAATGCTCCCCATAGGGACTCACTTATTCCTGTATAAGTGATTGCAGGCAGAAAACCAGAATCTGAATGAACTTTTTTTTTTCCTTAAACTTGGAAAACCTAGAAAAGACAAGAGTGGTATATAGGGGCCAATTAAAATAAAAAGCACAAGGGAAAATGAGAGGAAGTCGCTCCTCTCCTCCCAATGGGAGTATTGTGTTCTGAAGGATTCATGAATGGAATTTCAGAAACTCAGCAAAAGAATACATTTAACTGACTTACTCCAAATATATTCTGAATTTCATATTTACTAAATAAAGTGTTTCAAATGAACATTTTGTATGTTGTTACATGTAAAAACCGCATATTACAAAACGAAAGGTAGGAGAATTCATCACTTAAGTTTTTACATGCATATATACTTAAACTTCCGCATACTCCACAAATACTAAACTTGAAAAACAAAGCACCCTACATAATTTACCTTGCCACAGATGTGAAATAATTGTAAGCATACATAAATGTTAACAAAATACTTTCATTCAATGCTAAGGGGAGGTATCATTGAATGGTGGACCAAAACAAACTACATGGCAATTTGATGTCTTTGGAAATGACATACCCACAAACCAGTGGCTCAGCACTGATATTAATATATCTTGCTCAGTTGTCTCAATCATTTATAGTAGTTTAATTTTTTCAAGAACACAGACGTTAAGGTACTTTTAATAATTTTGAAAGGCCATAGAGTATATCTATTTTTTGAAGTCAAGCTTTCATTGGAATTGCTTCTTTAACCTAATGATTAAATATAAAGAATACACAGATAAAATAAGGTTTTGTCTTCTTTTATTAGAGAAAAATGTGCTTTTCCATGCCCATGCTTTCCACATTTTTGGAACTGATACAGAACCACAGAGGCCAAACCTAAAACTAAATTATCTTTAACGTTAAAATTTAATTGACTGTGTATGTAACTGTGCAATTGCTGCTTTCTCACAGAACTGTCTAGGGTTCTTTCAACAGATCATAGAAACGTGGTCCAGCATTTAACAAACAGGCTAATGATAGAGGAGATATACTAATTTATACAAGAATTAAGTAAACACTGTCATGTGGTTTAGTGTAGCTCAAGTTATGCTTGTATCATATAACATAGGTTCAAGTTCTTTTGTCAGTCATCAGAATAACAGAGGTTGAAGATACATATGAATAAGTGGCAATTATTGCTGCAGCTGTTTCAAAAAAATAAATTTAAGTAATTGTGATACACATTTCTACAAATAAAATATTCCAGTGCTTACATCAATCCTGAGTTTTTAAGATTAAATATGCACTACTTACAATTACCACAATATTATTTTGGAACAGGGCGATTTATTTATTATTTATTTTTTCTTTTTATTTTTTGAGACAGAGTCTCTCTCTGTCGCCCAGCGCGGAGTGCAGTGGCGCGATCTCGGCTCACTGCAAGCTCCGCCTCCCAGGTTCACGCCATTCTCCTGCCTCAGCCTCCCGAGTAGCTGGGACTACAGGCGCCCACCACCATGCCCGGCTTTTTTTTTTTTTTTTTTTTTTTTTTTTTTGTATTTTTAGTAGAGACGGGGTTTCACCATGTTAGCCAGGATGGTCTCCATCGCCTGACCTCGTGATCCACCCGCGTTGGCCTCCCAAAGTGCTGGGAATACAGGCGTGAGCCACTGCACCCAGCCAGGGTGATTTATTTTTTAAGTTGACTCTCTTCACCAAAAAGAGGGCTTTCATCATATTCTTCCAAGTCCTTGATACTCTTAAAACAAAAAGTCTAGTTCACTGACAAACTATCACTTTACATCTCACGTTTTAAACAGAGTAAATTAAATGTCAAAAGGAAACAGCTTTTAGTATTCAAAGGATGCTGGTTACTTATTATTATTATTATTTTTTTTTTTTTTTTTTTTTTGAGACGGAGTCTCGCGCTGTGTCACCCAGGCTGGAGTGCAGTGGCGCGATCTCGGCTCACTGCAAGCTCCGCCTCCCGGGTTCACGCCATTCTCCTGCCTCAGCCTCCCGAGTAGCTGGGACTACAGGCGCCCGCCACCACGCCCGGCTAGTTTTTTGTATTTGTAGTAGAGACGGGGTTTCACCATGTTAGCCAGGATGGTCTCGATCTCCTGACCTCGTGATCCACCCGCCTCGGCCTCCCAAAGTGCTGGGATTACAGGCTTGAGCCACCGCGCCCGGCTTATTATTTTTTTTTTGAGACAGAGTCTCGCTCTGTTGCCCAAGCTGGATGGAGTGCAGTGGCACGATCTCGGCTCACTGCAAGCTCCGCCTCCCGGGTTCACGCCATTCTTCTGCCTCAGCCTCCCGAGTAACTGGGACTACAGGCGCCCACCACCATGCCTGGCTAATTTTTTGTGTTTTTAGTAGAGATGGGGTTTCACCGTGTTAGCCAGGATGGTCTCGATCTGACCTCGTGATCTGCCCGCCTCGGCCTCCTAAAGTGCTGGAATTACAGGTGTGAGCCTCTGTGCCCCTTCCCCTTATTTCAAATTTAAAAACTGTAATCAATACATGGAGCTCCAAATACTTAAATATTTTAATACCAGATTTCAGTGAAATATTATTATAGCACGTCCAACAGTCATGTACTTTGCTTGAAGAAAATGGTTTGATAAACATGTTATGGTCAAGATGGAGCAAAAACAGAAAAAGACTGGTAGTCTTACATCATGAAATACCGTATTTTTTCACCAGGTAGTGACCCATTTGTTATCACTAATAGTCCATATAACATGGTTTCCACTGAAGGGATAGAATGGTCTGTGATATGACCTCATCAAGTTAGAGAAAATATAACTATGTTTGAAATATATACTATTCCCTCAGCAAACAGTTCAACAGTTCCTACTCCCTAAAATGTGGTATGTTAATGCTGAGGAAGATGTAAAAAATGAACACACAATCTCTTTCATATTCCTGTGACATGAGTAAATGCACGAATAAAAAAAAATTGATAACAAAACTTATGTAACTGCTATGGAAGGGCAACTCACTCGGACATGTAGCCAAAAATGGAGACTGATGTCAACTTAGTTGGCAAAAGATTTCAATCGGTCAAAAACAAGAAAAAAAGAGATTTAAAAGCATTGTGAGGGAAGAGCATGAACAAAGCATGAGATTAATGGAGAGGACGTTCAGAGAAGGCTGTCAACCCGGAGAGGCAAGAAGAAAGACAGAAGGCGGCAAAACAAGCCTAAGAGGGGGTCATGTAAAGGGGAGAGTCTCTGAATATCTAAGAACTGACATGTGGGTGCCACTGACAGGCTGGGAAGAGGGAAGGGCTAGAAGCATTTTTGGAAGGGAAGGGTTTTAGGAAGATAGTATTTCTGATCAATGAAAGGTGGCTCAGAAGAGAAGAGAGAACTCAGAAAAGAGTTTAATAGTATAAGCAAGGAAGAATGAGGTCTTGAACTAGGGTAGCCTCAGTGGCAATTTAAAAAAAGAAATTTAAGGACCATTGCAGAGGTAAAACTTGCCTCATGATAACCGCATGGGAAAGATAATGGACTCAGAAGAGTCCAAGATGATACCGAAGTTCCTACCCTAAGTGGTAACATGTAGCATTAACATTGACAGGAAAACTTTTCTAGTCTCAAGTTCATACCAATTAATAAATGGTTTCTGGGGAACATTATAGTAACATGTTCTCCACTTGTGACTTCTATATAAATAACTGTGTTGTGTATAGATAATCCTCAAGTTGCTCAAAAATTTTATTTTCAAACTCTTTCCCAGTTTATTTAACACATCTCAGTTAGTGTAGAGGAGTGACATATGAACATGTCTTTTCACAAGATTGTTAAAAAGAATACCTTACCTCACAGAAAGGAATTCCATTGTTTCCTAAATAATATACATCTACATGAAGAAGAGGTCATTGTCCGATGACAATTTGCTAATGTGCTGTACGACAGCAGATAATTCACAATTCACAACATGTTAATAATCTGCTGGCTTTCCCATTCTGTTGTACATCTGAACCATCCCTTATTATTACAAATTGTCATGTAAAACCATTACTAGTCACTAATAATTTTGAAAGTGAATATGCCATAAAACACTCCTACATTACAGCAGAAAATAAAAGAGATACTCAGTAGTTACATTTGCCTACTTCCTATTTAACTAAAACTCTTGAAACAACACAAGTGAAAAAGACATCTAGAAAGGACTTATGGACTTTCTGCCTTCCAAAGATTTGTCGCTGATCTCCTAAAAACTGAAAATAAAGTCTTCATTAATGTGTTCATAAAGTATCAATTTTTATACACAAGAGGTATATTTCTAGATAAAATTTCCAATTTACCTTTTCCTGTTCTAAATAACTCCCACAAAACTATTCACGAATCCTAAAAATACTGTTTTATGTTACTGCATTTACCAATTATGTTAAATCTGGAACAATACATTCAAAGTGAAAATGGTAATTCAAAATGTATAACCAAAATATCTTTCCATACATTCAGAAACAAGCAGACTGTCTTCTATTTTTATGCATGTGTTGTATTTTATAAGAATATATTGTGTTACCAAATAGAACAGACCTTTGTGAATTGCTCGTGTGATGGCTCAATCTCTTTCAGTTCCTTTCTTATCTTGTTGCCACCTCTTTTGTTGCTCTTGAAATATCTTCTAGAAGCACAAAACAAAAAAGTGATTAAAATTGGGTAAATTTTAATACTTACAAAACATAATTCTGCATTAAAGAAATACTCTTTAAATCAATACCTGTGAACACTTTATTTTAGACAACGTTTATGACCAAATTTGAAACAATTGTGTTCACCACTCATGTGCTAAAACGATAACCTTTTTAATCAGTAATGGAGTAAAGAATTTTCTTTCTTGTACATATTCAACATGCACGTCCCAATTCTTGATTTCAAATGAAGAGTATTTGATGACCTTCCCTATAATTTGTTGACCACAGATAGGTAAGATCTATACAGAAATTAACTAAGAAACATTCTTTCTTATTAAGATTTTAAACACGTATTAAATCTTGGTCATTTCAATATGTACATAGATGAACCTTCCATTAATGACTGTTTTTCTGCACCTTGACCTAATCTCCAACAACAGTGTTCTTGTCTCCACTACGTGGCACACACAGTCATCCCCTAAATTTTGTCGCTCCCAATGACCATAATACCTACATAATACTAATAATAGCATTGATAAACAGCAACCATGAGCCAGATCGCATCCTGAAAAATTTAAATAAACCCGTTACATAGGAACCCTTTAATCCTCCAAACAACTCTGAAGTAGGCACTCTTACCATGTCTCCTTTCGTATATAAAGAAACTTTAGCACAGAGATAAATAATATGCCCATGGTTCCTGAGCTAGCAATGGTCAAACTGGAATTGGATCAAAAGCAGTGGGGCTCCAGAGTCCCAGCCCTTGACCACTGCAATCAGCTGTTTCTCCATCTTCCCAACATACAGCCACTACCTTCCTGCCACTGTAGGTCACTCACTTCAGTACTACAGCTCAGGAGTCTGTCAGGACCTGATGCCTATTGAATGGAGCACTTTTCACTGCCCAATGTCCCACCCCCATGTGCTCAGGTAACTCAGTCCCAGCTGAAATTCCACAGCTAGTCATCATAACCCCATCCCTGTGTCTATGCCCTGCCCAACTCTCCCTCTATCAACATGCTCGGCTACACCCCAACCCAGGAAATTCCAACCCTACAGCTGTTCTTGTACAAATATGCCAACTGGGCTCACTTTAACTTCTTAATCGCTATGATGCTGACCTCAGTTGGACCCCTAAAGCTGCATGGCAATTATATTCCCCTGGTACATGAGTCCACTAACGGGCCCCCTCTTTGGGCTCATGCTCTCTTCCTTCTTCGCTGGATTTCTGCATGAACTATTACTCCCTGAGACATTGATACAATAGGTAGATCATAAAGCTAAGCCTGATACCAACAATTTGTTCTTCCTTTTCTCCTTCTCCTTCCTCATCTTTCTGCTCATCTGTGGTGAACTCTTCAAGGACATTCGGCAACTTCAGAGAAATTCTGTAGTCACGTTTCTGCCTATAACACATAATAAGTAACAAGGTCATACATCATAGAGAGATGAAAAATTAATCCTATTCAAACCAAAACTGACTTGACATAGTTTATACTATAAAGTAGCAAGGGAGTAATAGCAGCTGAAATCTTTTTGGGAAAAGGTGAAATGAGTTACTCTCATTCTGAAAGGATCCTTTCCTAACTGACTACTAGAGCAGCTATCTTATATTCTTTACGTGTTGAAGACTAAGGAGGGTTTACTGCACTATAAATTTCCCAGAAACAATCATTTTCTCCAAGAGCAGTTTACTTTTCATTTCTTCTTACTAAATAACATATGGGTTCTCATAAGTAGGTTCGAGAATATTGTAGCCATTCATCCCGTAAGATTTCCCAAAAGAAATACTTCACTTAACTATTTCTCCACTTTGGCACAACAATGATTTCGTAAAAGGAATAGTGAAAACAGTTTAATAACTTATTTACAACATAAGGTTATCCCTTTCTACATAATTGAATATTGTTAAGAATCTACAGACTAAACATTGAAGACATTTATCTTATATTCAGCTACCATATTTCTAGAAATGGCTAAACATTAATTTACAGGAAGACTATTTTATTTATTTATTTTTTTTGAGACAGAGTCTCGCTCTGTGGCCCAGGCTGGAGTGCAGTGGCCGGATCTCAGCTCACTGCAAGCTCCGCCTCCCGGGTTCACGCCATTCTCCTGCCTCAGCCTCCCGAGTAGCTGGGACTACAGGCGCCCGCCACCTCGCCTGGCTAGTTTTTTGTATTTTTTAGTAGAGACGGGGTTTCACCGTGTTAGCCAGGATGGTCTCGATCTCCTGACCTCGTGATCCACCCGTTTCGGCCTCCCAAAGTGCTAGGATTACAGGCTTGAGCCACCGCGCCCGGCCCCAGGAAGGCTATTTTTATCTGGAAGGCAAAAAGAGGTCATCTTCATTGGCTTCTAGGTAATATCTCTCAATTCTGTTAAACTGAGGTTATAAAACTAAAGAAACTTACCTGCTTAGGGAACAATCAAGTAAAATATGTTCTTCACTAGAGATGCCAATATGTAGATGCCAATGATATAAATATCATGATGCAAAAAAGCCAACAATCATACCTTTTTAGTTGCATTGTTCTCAAAACGTTTTTAACTCTATTCTTTATTTCACTGCAAGCTTTTGCAATCTTTTCACTCCTTTTTCTCTTTGCAGCAAGATCCTCTTTAATGTCAGCTAGATAGTAAATGAATATGCATTAAAAGTTCATGTTGAAAACTAGTTTCTTTGCATATATTGAAATCAATATGTGACTTGATGGTTCAGCAATATCAGAAGGACATTTAAAATGTAAAATGCGAAGATCATTTTACAAAGCAAGATTTACTCACTTTATGTAAAACCTTTCAGGTATTAATATTAGTATTCCAATTTCAATTGGTATAACAGCAAATCACTTAATTGACGGATGATGATAAAAAGCAAATAATTAAAACAGTTCCTTTTCTTTTTTCTGGGACGGAGTATCCCTCTGTCGCCCAGGCTGGAGTGCAGTGGCGCGATCTCGGCTCACTGCAAGCTCCACCTCCCGGGTTCATGCCATTCTCCTGCCTCAGTCTTCCTAGTAGCTGGGACTACAGGCGTCCGCCACCACGCCCGGCTAATTTTTTTGTATTTTTAGTAGAGATGGTTTCACCGTGTTAGCCAGGATGGTCTCCATCTCCTGACCTCGTGATCCGCCCGCCTCGGCCTCCCAAAGTGCTGGGATTACAGGCGTGAGCCACCGCGCCCAGCCACAGACTTTAATTTCTACATTTATAAAATGTCCTACAATTCAAAGGACATATTTTTGTGAAATACTGTCACAACTCATTACGTAAAGCACAAAAAAGTATCTTATTTAATAAGACCATCAAAAGGGTAGAAATAATACACAATAAGCAAAGTATTTTTAATCAATCTCGTGGTTGATGCTATTAACTGTATTTTAATAAAAGAAGCAATGTCCATGGGTATAAACATTTAGGTTTAAACAGATAAAGAAATACATTCAAAAACACGTTTGAAATATTTTCTGAGAGCTTTTTATCTGACATTTTTACCCATAGTGTGGTGTTTCAGAAAACTGTAATACTGCAAGGAATGCTTTCCCAAACATGGTTTCACATCAGAGATCTACCATCAATTGCTAAGAATAGTTTTCGGCAATCATAGAAGAGCTGCACCATAATACAAATATTTTTTACATATGGTATCCATCTATAATGCTCAATGTATTAGGAAGCTCACAAAACCAGCACTTTGTCACCACCAAGCAGAGCAAAGTTTTCCAAATATACTGCTTGTATGAATTATCACTATAGAAGAGCTGAAAATTAAAGTAAGCTTTTTAAAAATAAGAGTATTGTCTCCATCGTCTCTACAGAAATTTTCTCAAACTTTTTTGAAGATATGGTCCTATAACAGTGCAACTAATATTTCACATGGCAATATAAAGTTTATGAGTTTTTGGATCCAATTACATGTTTCTCACTGGGTAGAAAGGTTGTCTTTCCTTTTCTACTACACAATTTATTACTGGAATAATAATAGAAAATCATCATTTTAGATAATTCAATTTTCCCTGGTACTTTAAAGAAAACAAAATCAGAAAGTTGTGACAATAGCTAAATTATGAACATGAAAAGCTCATGTTAAAAACTTTGAGTACATACAGACAGGAAGAGGGGAACAACACACACCTGGGCCTACTTGAGGGTGGAGGGTAGGAGGAGGGTGAGGATTGAAAACCACCCATCAGGTACTATGCTTATAATCTGGGTGACAAAATAATCTGTATACCAAACCCCTGTGACACGCAATTTATCTATGTAACAAACCTGCATATGTACCACCAAACCTAAAGTAAAAGCTAAAAAAAACCTGATATATGACTTAATGTGTGTACACTGAAAGGAATGAATAGAGCTGTTTCTCCTCCAATGTCCTCTAATATCCCCCAAACAATTAAATTTCCACGTGTATGAAAGAAAAGCCATCCCTCTTGCCATTATTAGAAGCATCCTCACATTCTGCATGAACAATTAAAAAGGTAAGAAAAATTATCAGATTACATTAAATGCTATATATGAGAAGAAGGCATTTAAGACCATCTTGTCATCCACTAATTCATATAACCTACTGTAACAGTTGTATGGTTAAAAACAATTTTCATAAACCACAAATAGCTCGTAAAATATACCTGCAATATCTTCTAGCTCCTTGGTATCAACCCTGTAAAAAAAAGTTGCAACAAAATTTTAACATAATGCTACACAAAATGCCATGTTTGTTGGGAAAAAATGTTTTATGTGAAATGTTCTGCATAGAACAGAACAGTGATGACATGATCCAAAGCTGACTTTTCCTAAAGACCTTATCAGACAGGCAAAAGTGACTTAAACACTTTACCCCACGTGTTCATCTGTTTTAGCAAAAGGTTCTCTTTCCTGATGCTCATCAGTTACATCTCCCTTCTTTGTCTCTGTAACAGGTTTTCTTTCCTCATGCTCATAACTTACTGGAGCCTTTCCTGCATTAAAATAAAAAAGACAAACTTTTTTAGAGGAAGACGCTGTTGTGGACTTTTTTTTTTTTTTTTTTTTTTTTTTTTTTTTTTTTTGTAGAGAAACGTACTATTTGTAGACTTTGTAGATTTGGAAGCCCTTCGGGCTCAAGTCCTAGTAAACAACGTTCACAGGTCAGACCCCTTGGATGTCAGGAAGCACCCATGGAGAAGAGCTGCTTTGAGAGCATTTGTAACCCTGCTATGAGGGGGAGCCTCCCACGGGAAGCCTAAGGCCCTTGAGCCTGCGTTGAAAACCTGGGGCATCTTAGCACACGCACGGTGGACTCCAAAGCCACGAAGGGGTCGGGGGCCTCGGGCTGCCCGTGTGCCCCCAGCGCAGAAAGCAGGCAGACCGTCAGGCGTGCACCTTCTTCCATATCCCCTTGGACTGTGTTTACCCGCAAGCTCCATTTCCTGGGCGACCGTAACTTGAGCCTCCAACTGGTCCTTGGCAGCCATCCTGCTGCGCTTCCTGCCCACGGGCTGCATGGCTGGCTGTCCTGGGAAGCTAGAGGCAGCCTCTGAACCTGGTGAGTACAAAGACACACTAAGGAAACTAAGGAAACGAGGCGTGTTAAATGAAAGCCATCAGGATCGCGGGTTCAAGGGCGCCCCGAGTCCCCTGTGGGAGCAGGAGGGGACGCGGAGAAGATGCCATCATCCTTTCCTGTCCTGGCCCGTCCAGCGCTTCCCTGGGGCTGGCTGCAGAGCTCGCAGAATTCCGCGGCCTCTGCGGGATTCCTGCAGTACCCTTGGGACAGAGCTTGGCCCTGCCCCTGGGTTCCCCAGCGACCCCATGTAGTCAGGAGGGCCGCGGGGTGACACAGGATCTCCCCAACCATCTCCATGGATTGAGCCGGTGTGCACCTGTTTCTGACAGTCAGGGACAGGGACTGCCCACTAGCCAGCCTGAACGCCCAGGGAACCCCTGGTCACCCCAAGTATCCCGTCTTGATGGGCGGCCAGACAAGACAGACCCATGTCGACCCCCCCAGCCTCCCTCCCACAAACGCTGCACACATGTACAGGCCTCCGGGACCCTCCTGGGCCCTGGGGACCACTCAGGCAGCTCCAGCTCCCTGCCCTGCCCATTTCCTCGCAGGTCAGCCTGGCTGCCCCGCCCTTCACACCCTCTTCCCCAAAGAGCCTCATGCCCGCCTTCCCCGCATATCCACCGAAGGCACCTCGCCTGAGGGATCCCTGATCTTGCTCCCTCAGAGGACCTGAAGAGGCTGGCACCACGAAAGCTCACTGCCTGGTTCCTGGGTTCTCGCGAGAGCAGCCGGCCTGGCTGCCCGCGCTCCTCGCTGATTGGTCGGCTCAGTGCGCATGCAGGTGGCTTGCGGCATGGGGCCACGCCCCCTGCCGGCACACCCACCCGCTCAGGGACTGTCCATGGCTGCTGTGGATTGGGTGGCTCTCTGAGGCCTCTGTCCCCACGATTTTCCAGCTCCTCATCCTGGTGAAGGAAGCAAGGACCCGGGAGTGGGGAGTGCCAGAGGACCCTGCCCTAAGGAATGGAGGCCAAGTGAACGGGGCTTAGGACCTTCCCCCAGGCTCGTTCCAGCCACTCCTGCCCCTTCGGGTGGAATGGCCATCACCCCTGCGGGTGGGGCCCAGGCTCCCTCCCATGCCCTGTGTGCTTCCAACACGCCCAGCTGCATCCTTTTTATCAATGCATTGTGCTTTTATGTTTTATCTAAGAAAATTGTTGACTCCCAGCAGCGGCAGGTAATTTTCTCCTATCCTACTTCATTCTCTCACACTGGGTATTGCATGATTCTGTAGTGGATATACAAAGTTAAAGACTTTGTCTAGATTTCTCATGATGTGATCATTTCTTTTCTTTCTTTCTTTCTTTCTTTCTTTCTTTCTTTCTTTCTTTCTTTCTTTCTCTCTTTCTTTCTTTCTTAGATGGGGTCTTGCTCTGAGATGGGGTCTTGCTCTGTCACCCAGGCTGGGCTGCAATGGTGCAATCACTGCTCACTGTAGCCTCAAATTCCCACGCTCAAATGATCCTCCCACCTCAGCCTCCCAAGTAGCTGGGACTACAGGCGTGTCCCATCATGCCCGGCTAATTTTATTTTATTTTATTTTATTTATTTATTTTTACAGACAGAGTCTCACTCTGTCGCCCAGGCTGGAGTGCAGTGGCGCGATCTCGGCTTACTGCAATCTCTGCCTCCTGGGTTCAAGCAATTCTCCTGCCTCAGCCTCCCGAGTAGCTGGGACTACAGGCACACGCCACCACGCCTGGCTGATTTTTTTTTTTTTTTTTTTTTTTTGTATTTTAGTAGAGACAGGGTTTCACCATGTTGCCCAGGCTGGTCTCAAACTCCTGAGCTCAGGCAGTCTGCCCGCCTCGGCCTCCCAAAGTGCTAGCATTACAGGCATGAGCCACTGCTCCCAGCCAATTTTGTTTATTTTTTGCAGAGATGAGGTCTCACTATGTTGCCCAGGCTGGTCTGGAACTCCTGGGCTAAGCGATCCACCCGCCTCAGCCTCCCAAAGTGCTGGGGTTACAGGCGTGAGCCATCGTGCCCAGCCCGATTATTTCCACGGCTGGGTTGGAAGCCATCTTCCCCTGACAAGGCAGCTCACCTTTATTTCTAAGAGTTCTCTATAACCTAAAGAGAATCCCTAATTACTGAAACTAAATACTACCAGCTGTCCCCATTTCCCCACAATCTACTTGGTACCCAAATTAGCCAATGAGACATCTTGGGCAATTTTAAGCCATGATTGCCTCAGGTTTCCCTCTCTTTCGAGCTTAAGATGTGTAACATTAAGAAAGAAGACAAATCTTGCAGAGGGCTTTGTGCAACCAGTCTTACAGCTTTCTATCCCATCTGGATCAATGTAATTTTCATATGCTTCATCAAAGATTTCAGCTGAAAGTACTATACCAGGTTCTGTCTATAATTGGAAACACATACACACATACACCAACTACTGGTATTCAGCTAAGAATTCAATGCCGGCTCATTTTTCTTTAAAAGAATGTCAAATCAAGGAACAATTCTCCATCGCAAAGCGGAAGTTGATGTCAGGTGAAGACAAATGGGGATTACAGAGCTACTTCTTTGGCATAACCGCCTAGAAACAAACTGAAAAGGATTCTGCAATTTTAAATAGGCACAAAGACATTCTTTTCAGAACACCAAGTGTCCAAGTTACAAAACCCTGAAAAAATTCTTCTTTTAAACTTTCGGATGGAGCAATTTATCTCTTTTTCCCAGCTGGAGTATTTGTGAGGTGTCTCTCAGAAAGAAACAACTCAATACACAAATCATTAAGCCTTTGTAAAGGGAGGAAGTCTATTTGAAGCAACTCTCCGCTGAGGAAACAGGTTTTGTGAACTAACCAAAGCCTTTAGGGCAAACATGGTCACTTCAATTTTTTTTTTTTTCCCCCACTGGAGGTTATCTACAAAGACCACAGGAAATGTTTAAGCAAATTTAAAGGCGATTTCTCAAGAGTTATTAGAATAAGTACAGTAATTTAGAGAATTGGTTTCTAATAACTGGAGGCATAACCCCCTCTTACCCCCAACACCCTACTCCACCCTATGTGAATCGAATGACAAGTAAGGATAATGCTTCATAACAAATGTAGAAATAACACCAATTTTCAAAGCAGCCCTTGCTCTTTTATTGCTGTCATTGAGAACTAACTGAAAGAAATGCACCCCTTGGATTCATAGACAGACAGAGGGACAAACAGATGGCTGGATATGTGATAAGCAACAACAGTATGGCCAAATGTCAATGATGGAATCTAGGTGGTGGGAACATGAATGTTTTCCATGAAATTCTTTCAACTTTTCTGTGTATTTGAAATTTCTAATAATAAAATGTTGGAAAACAATTGTTCATTTTGAAAACATCTAGAAATCTAAGATGTGATCACTGGGTTAAAGACTATATACATCCATACTCTGTAGCCTGAATTAGTGATTTACGCTCTAATAGCCAATCAAATTGCTCATTTATCAGACAGGGCTGGTAGCACAGGAGATGGAAGTTTCTCTACTGATAATCCTCCAGATGTTTGAGGGCTTCATGTTCATTTACATTTCAGTCTTTTCTCCAATTCTTAGACTGTTAGCAAAAGTTTATACTCAAATGAAGCAGCAAATTCTAGGCTCCAGCTGTTTAAGAATAAATGAAACATTCATGTCTTTCAGAAAGGCTTATCTGATGTACTCTGCACAAATACGCTCACCTATGATCTTCTCTGTGCAGACTCTATCAGGGCCGTTCTCAATGGGCTTTTCAAGACTCTCTCCAATCAGATTATAATTCCTTCAAGGGCAGTTCTTTGTCAACTTTGCTTCTCCAGCACTCAGCACCATGACTGGCACATGGTGTGCCGTCAGCAAATGCTGTGTTTGCTATATGTGAATTAATGCTGTGCATACATGTAGAGACATAGGCTCAGACCCTCTCATCAAATGGCAAAGTCTACCACCCAGTCCTGAGAATTACATCTCAGCTTAGAGCAGAGGGGCCTCACCCTGGCGTCTCCTGGAATCACTCAGGAAATTTCAAAACACACTGCTGCCTCCATCCTACCCACTGAGTTTCTGATTAACTGTGTTGGAGTTTGGCCTGGGTCTCAGGATGGTGAAATCTCCCCAGATGATAGAAAAGTGCATGCAGCACTGAGAATTCCAGGGTTTGGACTTTACAAGCCACCAGGTAATTTCATTTTCACTCACCTTCTTTCCTTTGATTCTCAGGACAAGCTACCAGGTCTCCAGGACTGAAGGTTATCATCTAAGTCGATGTTCTCAACTGGAGGTAATTCCACCCCCCCACCCCCTACCAGGAGACAGTTGGCAATGTCTGGAGGTATTTTTGGTTTTTATAGCTAGGGATGGAGGTGCTACTGGCATCTTGTGGGTAGAAGCCAGGGATGCTGCTAAACATCCTGCAATGCACAGGACAGCCCCACCACAAAGTATTATCTGGCTCCCAATGCCAACAGTGTTGAGATTGACACACCGTGGTCTATTGTAACTGTTTGATTAGCTAGGGCTTTCTTAACCAAAGTAATCTCCTTTGTGCACTGTGTGCCCATGGCCTGTATAAGACAGACAATTGCACAACAATTTATCCCAGAGTACATCTGAGTCAACTGTTGATGTTACATGTTGGATTGGCTCCAGCAAATGAAGAGCTGACATTCAATGAGTGTTCCCTTTGTGCCAGGCACATTATATACATGGCCATATGTTCCTCCCAGCAATCTTGAGAAAGAGAGGGAGAGATTCTAAATTTGAAAACTAAACTCATTATACAAGGTCATACATTGAATTAAGAGTTTGAACCTTTAACAACAAGCTCAAGACAAGAAGTTGCCTCAGATCCTTAATAGGTTGCCTTAATATAAAATTAATAGGCCGGGCGCGGTGGCTCAAGCCTGTAATCCCAGCACTTTGGGAGGCCGAGACGGGCGGATCACGAGGTCACAAGATCAAGACCATCCTAGCTAACATGGTGAAACCCCGTCTCTACTAAAAAAATACAAAAAACTAGCCGGGCGAGGTGGCGGGCGCCTGTAGTCCCAGCTACTCCGGAGGCTGAGGCAGGAGAATGGCGTGAACCCGGGAGGCGGAGCTTGCAGTGAGCTGAGATCCAGCCACTGCACTCCAGCCTGGGTGCCAGAGCGAGACTCCGTCTCAAAAAAAAAAAAAAAAAAATATATATATATATATATAAAATTAATAATGCCCTATGTTTCTCAAAACCCCTTGTTTGAGAAACTCAAGCCTAATACATTGTTCATCTTTCCTGCTCTTATTGAATGGAATTGATGTGCCATTCAAGCCTAATCATTAACAAGACATACCAGTACCCTTTCCTTGTAATCCTACCTTCCTCAACCCCACTAAGGATCCACAAAATACCTTTTAAGGTGAAGTTCTAATCACTTTCACATTATTGTAACCATGGCTTATGGCTTATCTTTGTTGTCATGGATAATTGAGACAACTGTGTGGGAATGGCAACTTATGAATGATCTAACAATAGGCCTATTAATATAGCAGTAAATGTCACAGTTATAATAGAAGGTACCATGCTTACACAGAGTATTGCCAGACCTAGCACAATTTCTGGCATAAGGTTTGTGCTTAATAAATGCTTGCTGGATGAACCAATGAAGTAATCAAATGAGTCGGAATAAGAGGTAACATATTCAAGAGATTTATAGAATGGAAGATCTAGAGTGCTTTTATTTCAGATTGATATGTTCTCTAGTGGTAACCAAAAGAGTAATAGCTGACTTTCACTTTATTATTAAAGCAAAAATAGAGCATATCAATTTTTATTTTCTCATTCTTATTTTGGTATCTAATAGTGTCACCAAATATTATATTATATGGATAACTATAGTTCTGATACTCACATCAACATTTCTAATCTTGTTGGTAGACATTATATTTTTCTTTAAAAGAAGGATAAACAGCTTAACATGGGAAATATTTGACATTATTAGATTTCTTAAAAAGAATTTTTGTGCTTTTATCAGCCTCTGACCAATATCTACAGGACTGACTTCTCCTTTAGGCACAGAGTTGAGGGACCACAAAATTACTTCAATTTCTCTTAAAAATAGCAAGGGAAAATATTAATATAATTCAGTATGGATTATATTATCTTTATACTACCAGAGTCATAAAATATAATTTTTATTTCATGTATTATTTTATATATATAATTTTTTTTTTTTGATGGAGAAAGGGCTTCACGAAGGAAAATGTGTCTATAGCTTATCAATGTCATGCAGTGGCCCTGGATGTCACCTCTCTATATTCCACTGCCCTACTCTTTTCAAATAGCTTTTTTATTTATTAGTTTTTTGGG